AGTAGTAACAAACACTAAAATGAAGGAGGGGAGATAAGGACGATAGATGTTCGATAGGAAAGAAGGAGCAAACCACACAACCACACTAGAGCATCCGCAAACCACCCATTCAGACAGGGATGAGACAGAGGTGACACCTCCAACTAACCAAACAACGCTACAAATTCCTTATAGTAGCAGCCTCCCTGGCTATGGCGCACCCCCACCCGCCCGTCCGGTCCCATACCGGGGGTGGAGGGGGGGGGGTGGTTAATGTCAAAAACTAGCTATACGGAGGCTGGCACCGGCACAGAGCTGGAGCAACGGACAAACGGGACAAGGCCGGCAGACGCATCGACCAGTCTTTTCGTTCTCGTGGGAGTTTTTACGGCCCTACTAGGCTACTACTATATTGTGTGAGGGTGCGGTGGCGGAGCGGTTAGTGTGCTCGTCTCCGAAGCGTTAAGTCCGGGTTCGAGCCTCGGCTCGGACATGGACTTTTTCGACCACTCCTGCCCACCCAGCAGTAATGGGTACCTGAATTCGAGTTGGGGTAGTAAAGGTGGCGTGGAAAGGAACTGGCCACCCTACCACAACATGCCTAAGGCCCAGGAAGATGTCTCAATAACGAGGCAATCCCCAATGTCCGGATCGGAATCGGGAACAACTTTACTTTATTATATAGTGTAGACATAAAATGACAACAGGTTCGAACAGAGGGGAGGAGGATGAAGACAAGGGGGGGGCAAGGTGTAGGAATTGTAGCAGGTAAAAGGAACGCGGTAATTGGGTGGGAGGGAGTTTTGGGGGGGGAGGAGGAAGGGTGGAAGGAGAGGGATAGAAGGAGGAAGAGGACGAGGTAGGGGAGGAGAAGGAAAGGGGATTGGGAGGAGAAGGAGGAAGAGAAGGGGATGGAGAAAGAGCTGGGGGAAGGAGGAGGAGGCGGGAAAAAAACAAAGAGAGCAGAAAGGGTGTACATGTAAATCATAACAAAAATGGCAGGCTACTTTTGACAAAATGGACCTAACAAAGATTGCAGAATACATGTAGTTTCGTTTGAGTAGTAAACCATGAGCGAAGATGACAAACTTGTTTTGACAAAACAGGGAACAAAACATCAAAAGATCCATGCCATTGTGCCAAAAACAGTAGACAACGTGAAAAACTGGCGGGTTCATTTTGACCAAAACCTTTGCCAAAATCCAAAATTATAAACAAAGAGCAAAAACAACCGGCTCATTTTGGCATAATAGTGAATAATCAACAAAGACAGCGGACATGTTTTTTTTTACTTGCACAGTAAACATTTATTTAACAAGGAAGGCGACGCGTTCCTGCCAATACATTGACCGGAAAAACAAGAGGCAGCTACCTGCTCTGTGTATAATAATAAATGTTTTACGGCTCCTCCGACCAAATTTAGACACTCCCCGATGAGGACATGTCCATAAACTGATGCCCGCTCGAGCAGTGTTCCGTCTATTCTTGATCCAGCTCTACGGTTGTCCTCGAGAGCAGCTCAAAATAGGTCATACAAGTACCGAAGATGAGAAGTGTTACAAGGGTGTAACAATGACAAAAAGGAGGACCGATCAGGACAACAGATATTCAATAAGAAAGAAGGAGAAAACCACACTAGAGCACCCGCCAACCACCCGCAAGGAACTGAGAGAGAATGTTAAATCTCAAGGCAAAGCTCAAGGAGTCAACGCGTCCTACGGGAAAACAAAACAAAAAACAGCTGATAGGAGTGTTTTTCAGTGAGGTTGTTTGCTTGTTTGTTGATCTTTTTCATATAGTTCTGCTTTTACCCATATCAGGCCTATGTGTAACTTTCGCAGCACACTGACCTACAAAAAAACGTACACTTGAGGAAGACCTACATTTTTTCCGGAAGAAACAGAAAGTGCGGCGAAATGGACACGGGTGACACAGCAAAAACAAAACTATGGGAAACAACCACAAAGACTAGCTGCGCAATAGCTCGCAGCTGCAGTGAATTGTTTAGAAGAGGTCAGAGGCTTACAGGTTACACACCACTAATCTCTGTTTTTGCTCTGCGTTTCGCTTCATTATG